CTAAACATAGTCGGTTTTGTGTTAATAAGCATAAAACGCATGCCAGTATAATGAACACAGGATCCGTGCACTACCTCTTAAAGTACCGGCAGCCATATGTGTGTCATTCATTTTGTTGTCAATACAACAAAAGATAGCTTTAAGTTAAAGGAATCAGGATTAATAACCTATGTATTTAATTTATTCAGGACTAAAATACTACTCAGTGTTATTTTCCATTTGATTACTTTATTCAGTTTCTGTATATGAATCACGTGATTAATAATGATGAGGAAATTCAGGCCCTGTGTTTAATTTTTCTCATTTGGTTACATTCTGTTATGGAAAATTAATTTTCTATTGATTGTAGGCCTATATTTTGAGTTGTATTCACATCCATTTTCCTGTAAAGATATCGAGATATATATCGAATATCGAGATATAGCAAAATATATCGAGATATATTTTTTGCTCCATATCGCCCAGCCCTAGTCTGTAGCATAAAACAAAACAAAAAACAAACAAACAAAAAAGTTAGAACAAAATAGTTTTTTTGCTGTTCCTTATAATAGTTTTAGTTTTTTTTTCAGAGCACATTAGCACAGATTGCCTTAGATCGCAGCGACACTGAGGGATCCTTTGCAGTGAATTATCTCAGTTATTGTGCCTCGTGGCCCATGCGAAGCAGTGCTAATAAACAATTTCCCTGTGTTTAATCGTGCTGTGTGTAGAAATTGATTGTGCTACCAGAATTGGGAGACCTCAGGAGAGTGTTAGCTCAATGATTTTATCTTCTGAGTCAGATCAAGGCTTTAACAGCGTCTTGCTGTGTTATGTGGATTATTTATAAAATCACCATTGTTCACATTCTCACTTTGGTTTTGTGCTTTTGGTTTATCTTTAAAATTATTTATGTATGATTGAGTTATTAAAGATCTGTAACCAAATAATTTTTTGGACACTTAAAGGGACAATATGTAGAATTCAGAAACCCTTATTGTTAGCAACACCGGTGGCCATTAAGTGAACTGCAGCCAGCAACTTATGATTCGTGCTCGCACACGAAGCTGAACGTGATTCAAGGCCCCGATATACTCACTGCAAAGTTTTTCTTTCTTCTTTGATTAGAAGTAAAAAGAAGTCGAAAATACCTTTGCAGTGATATTATACTATATTGTTAACTAACATCCCAACGCCATCCACACTGTCGAGAGTGAGGTTTAGATGAATATGCAAATATGTGCTGCGCTCTTTCCTCAATAACAAAATAAACACACAACAATAATGACAGCGGTGTGAAAACCGCAGTTAGAGCATCTGATCGTAGCGATGTGTATATATTTGCTCCAGTTCTGCGATTAACCGGCTTCATGTCGACAGATGAGGTCATTAAAATCACACTGTCATGATATGTTTGATTATAAAGTATACTTAAGACTATAGACTATATAGATCTGGCTATGTGAGACTATATTTCGAATTAATCTCTTTTCTTTGCATGACATTACAGTACAGAATAGCTCTTTCGGCATTATCCTGAACATTGTATAAGCATTAGCGTTTCCTAACGTCTCTCATCCACATGGAAATGTCAGAAAACGCTAAATTCACCTTACAGCGCATGCGTAAACCCTTATAAAAGCTCACTGATATGATACAGACGGAACAGACATAATAAAGTTATCATGCAATTCTTCTGGCAGGATTATTTAGCAAAATATCTCACCATTCACTGATGCATCCAGGTCGCACTTACACCATTGTATATTTGTTCTAAAACGCCACTGTTCTCATGTCATGCCGCAGGACAGCAAATGTGAGTACATCTTCTATCATCTCTGCAGGACTGTGATATGAAGAGAGTGCAGAGTAACATATTTTAGCAACAGTGTGACAGTGAATACAACATAACAGACACAATAGAACTATAAACATGTATATATATATATCAGTTCACATGACTAATCAT